CCCCCCGCTCTTTTTCAAGCTACGCTTAGATTGTGTAGATCTGTGCTATCTATATTATCCTATTAGCTCTTTCTTACTGATTAGAAAATTACACAGCTTTGTGAGGTTTCACCTTAATGGAAGGCAGCGGCACTAAAATAAGAAATATACACAAAACCACATATCTATGTGTATATATAATCTCCTATTATTATGGAAACAGCTGGTGGGAAAACTTCATTAATATGTCGCCTTACCTGCAAAACCACTTTCTTGTCAGAGGAGCAATTTAGACTATGCCTGATGTCCCACCATAGCTGCTGGGAAGCTACAACCTGGTTGTAGCTTGTGGACTGTTAACATTTTTCTGGTAAAACTGGCTTAAGGGCAGCAAATAAATTAATCGCAGGAGGTAATCTAAAGATAGTGAGGTTCTGGGTTTATTGCTGTGAGTTTCTGCTTGAAAGGTATAGGACTAAAATCAAAGCATATTATCTTTATAATCAGTTATTCTGTAGGCTAACTTTTGTAAAAGGTGACTTTATTAGTGGTTTGGGGGTTTTTTAACCGTCTGTGTTCTCAGTTTTACAGCCTAAAAGCCATTTGATTGGCATAATCTTTAAAGTAGGTGTCTGCCGCTTGGCAACATTTCAGAATTACGAGTTTCATTTCATTATTCTTTTGGCATCATTAAATGCCTTACAGTATTTTTAGGTCTGGGGTATAGATGTTCGCTCTGTGAGGGCAGAATCATGCCTGGGAAAGGCACCTGGCATCTCTGAGACACTGGAGGCAGCAGACTGCCTTTCATTGCTTGGAAAGGCTGCTGGGAGGCCAGGCTGGGAGAAGAAAAGGCCTTTAAGTTCTTCTCCGCTGCAAAGGCTAAAATAAAGTTTCATTCCCGTGAAGTTGCTAATTTGACATGGATCTTGTTCATTGGCTAAGGCTCTTGGCGGCGGAGTTGGGTGATGAAGGGTTGACCCTGGGGTGCCATACACAAAATTGCAGAGGAGGTAATGCCATGCCCCCCCAGGCAGTCTCTGCAGAGTCACCCGAGGCCACAGGCTGGAGAGGCTTTGCAAAGCTTCACGATTCCACACGGCCGTGGGGAAACTGTCCTTGGTATGATAAAGCTGAGAGAAATAGATGCAGAGCATGATTTCTGGATACTTCATCAAGAAGTTGTAGATTTTACTTATGCAGCAGTGGTAAGCCTCGTTACAAGGCGAGTAATTTGAGTAGAGGATGATGCATTGGATGTTTTCATAGGCAGCTGTAACTGCCTCCAGATAACCACCCGCCTCAAACAGCAGAGATTCTGGATGGTTGTCTTGCTCAGCACAGTTTGTAGCATGGCCTTTTTGAACTACTGTGCCTGAGAAACCCCTCAGTTCATAGAAGAGAAGGCGTTCATTTCGGGCAGTCTCTGCTGATTTACGTGGGAAGCCAAAGACCCTGTAAAATTCCACGTAAGGGACTCTCGCTGCTTCACCAGTCCGTATGTGGTAGGGGCATTTAGCACAGCTGTGGTTCTGTCTTAGCCAGCAATAGGGCTTTACCACAGTCCCCTGATTTGTCAGATACTCTTGGAAAATGGTTTTCTCTCCTGGATTCATGTTCTGTTGAAAAAAAAATCTCCCTGTTTGTGTGCTATAGAGCTGACAGTTCTGAATGAAAAAAGAAAAGTGATATTTTAATTCAACCCTTCCATTTTTTTTGCACCTAAACTGCAAAAATAATAGGGGATAGTCTCTTAAAAACATTATTGAAACTTGTAGCAAGACATAGAAACTTGGTTGATGACATAAAGAACAAAGCTCTCTTGCAGCCTGGGAGCATTTTTAGTTTTCACAAACTTACCTTTTTACTAGAAACATAAGTAAAAATATTTCTTGGCCTCTGCCCTCTTACCCTAAACAGGAGACACCATATAGTAAAATCAGCCATATTTTTCAGGAATTGATTAGCAGATGAGCTTTAAGTAATCTGGCAAAACAAGTAAACATCAACACACAAAAATGTACAGTTATCATCTCAGCAGCTCCAGCTCAGGGTGATGGTAAATATTTGTCCAGTTTCCTTCACTGGCTTTCTAGGATTGGTTCAATGAATTCCACTTTAGTGAATGTCGTAAGCTTTCTCTTCAAAATAAGGTGACAAAGAAGAAAGTTACTTTGTCTTCCTTGATTTTGGCAATTCAGCTGTAGAAGAATCTTCCCCAAGCACTGTAATGCTCCAGCTGTAATGGTGATGGCAGGCAGGCTCCTTTAGGTGTTTACAGGTTCCAAGTGCTAGGAGACAAGAATGCAAACAGGATTTTCTCTTGTATTATAGCTGAAAGATGGATGTTCTTCTAATGAATATGTTACAGAATTTGTTTCCAGGTGATGGTTATTTCTGTATATGTCTGTCTGTTGTGCTAGCCAGGCAGAAAGCTCCTGTTGTACTTCTGCTCTCAAATGCTGGCACCAAGGTTGTTTCTTTGTTAAGAAGTTTGTGTGTCCCTCACCGAGGCTGTAATTCAAGCAAGCAGCAGGCCATTTCATGAGTAAGCTAAATCACGCCTGCTTTACTTGGGCAGGGTTCCAGATGAGTGCAAGCCCAAGTTTTGTGTAGATGAACAACTTTTGGCACAAGTGCTATGGCATTTCACTGCTGCTCTAATTAAGCCACTCATGATCCCTGCATCCGATTTAATTCCATTACTACTTTTATGATTATGAACAACTTTTCTATCTGCATATATTTTTACAGCTTGCTTCTGCACTCCTGATTGTTTTGCCCTCTGACTGTCAGTATTTCATTTTCTTCTTCAGTTACTAATTTGATTCATTGGCTTAGTTTTCCGCTCCTGATTCTATGCCAACTTCCATGTGTTTTCCTGGGTTGGAGCTCTTTCCTGATCCAAACCATTGTGCTGTTCTCATTCAGATTACTTCTAAGGATTGCGTTCCTGACATCAGGAATGCTCCATTTGTCATTTTTTATGTTTCTGTACGTTTTTGATGTTCAGCTGTGCTCTGTGCTGTGCATCGTGACGTAATCATGGCAGAGGTGTGCCTTAGAAAATGAAATATGTGTTGGCAACCTAATGTAAAAAAGAGCAGGCCTGAAGAAGGGAGTGTTTTTCTTTGTAGAGAGATGTTATGGGGTTAGCATCACCTCTCACTTCTCCTATAGGTTGCAAATATTAAAGACGATTTTAAAAACTGCAAATTTGGGGCAAGGTTCCAGTCCTTGCTATCCCTGGCTGGTATTTTTGCAGGGCCGGAATGGCCACATGATGGCAATGTTGCACACCAGAGATCCGTCCCATCTTATGCTGGGATTGATGGAAGCAAGGGCTTGAACTCGACGTTACAGTGTGTTTAAAGGGATGCCTCTAGAGAGACCTCAGATTTTACATCTACCTCTACATTTGACCTGATCAAAACCCAGCAAATACTCAGTCTTCTCAGTTAATAGTGTCACATCCTTCTAGGGCAGAAGTCAAATCTCAGCCTATATAATATAAATAGCAGAGGCTTTTCGTTTGCCATGTCCGTCAGCCCCATAACTGATCATTTTGGGGGTGCAAAGAGGAAAGATGTTTACAAAAAGTGCAAGTCGAGCACAATGGCAGAAAGCTCCCTTCTCATCATGTTCTCAGAATGGACCCAGTTCTGGTTTATGAGGAAGCAGAAAGTTGATTTTTTTGTTCCTGTTTTTGGCATGTTTTTTTCTAAAGTAGTAAAAAAAGGTGTAGATGTATTACACAAGATCGCTTAAACTGATCACAGAATCACAGAATGTTAGGAGTTGGAAGGGACCTCAAAAGATCATCCAGTTCAGCCCCCCTGCCAGAGCAGGATCACCTAGAGTAGGTCACATAGGAACGTGGCCATGCAGGTTTTTAATGTCTCCAGAGAAGGAGACTCCACAACCTCTCTGGGCAGCCTGTTCCAGTGCTCAACTGATGCATATTCACATGTACCTATGGATGTGTGCATATTTATACATGCATATGGATTAAGCAGCTAATAGGAGCATTCATCACTAAGGTCCCTTGCAGAAAAAATTCTGTTCCCATGCACAATTTTATCGAGTAATACTGAACAGCTTGGTAGCATTTATCATCCTCAAAGTAGTTTATAAATCTGACCAAGTGGTTGAAATATAGACTGGTCTAAATGGGTTTCTTCTTGGTATTTCTGCTGCTTAGTGTTGCTTAGATCCTGTACAGGGGAAATTGTTAAAGTGGTTTCTGACTTTCACAGTGCCCGATTTGTCAGAGTGGTTCTGATGTATCTGCAGAGGCAGTAAATACTGCAGACTTTAGCTGAAGTTAATGGTTTGTATCAGCCTGAAATTCAGAATTCAGGTGGTTTCAGGCTAGGAGATAAAAAAATGAAGGTACTCAGAATGACATCTCCCTTTTGGTAGATTTTGTCTTGATTTCAGTGTTTGCAATTCTGACTTGATGGGGCGGGGGGGGGGACAGGGCGGAGGAATAGAGGAATAATTTTACTTGACTGGGAAGCTATTTTGGCTCTGTAGTTTGATTTAAGCTGGTTCTCCTAATGCTTGTCTCCAGTATGCCCTTTTGGCACTAATCAGTTCTAAAGTGCTTTGAGATCTTCAGACTGCATGGTGGACTGCAGCGCTGTATGGTGATGTATAGCTCAGTCTGTTAATTATCCTTTAAACAACACACCAATCCAAATAGTCAATGCCCTGGTATAAAAGCAAGATAGCCAAACTGTTCTTTTGCTTTGACTGGTTGTCCCATGGTTCTGAGCAGAAAGCTTGCCCATATCTTCTCTAATACTAATCTTTTTCGACATCCATACCTTCCTGAACCCACAGGCTGTTCCCCACCCTCAGAAGAAATGCTTGATTTTAAATATGCTGTATGGACCTAAGGGTAGGCCTTTTAATACTTGTTGTTGGGAAAAATACTGTCTTCATCTATCAATTTGGTTGCATGAAAACATCATCCTGATCTAGAAGCTCATGCCTAATGGCTATGAATAGGGACTCCAAACATGTGTTAAGGAATGAAACAGACTCACATCTCCCCAGTTATGTTTAAGATTATAATTATATCCCTGTCCCTCCTGGCTGTATTTTGAGGGGACAGGGATATAGTTATAATTTTTAAAAAATTGTTTCACTTATTACTAAAATGCAGGCATCTTTGGGGCAGAGGGCAGCAGCTGTTTAGTAGTGCTCCACAACAAGGTATAAATGTCCACAGGAGGAACTAGGGAGGAATGCTTATCCAGTTAAAACCTCAGGGGAAACCAATGTGGTTAGTGTGTAATTACTCAGGTTGGAAATTAGCCAGGATACAAGCCATATGTCCTGCTCCTAGGGAAAAAAAGCATAATGACCAGGCCTGTGAAATTTTTTAATCTAAATATTAGCTAAAACCTGGTATGTCTTCAGGCTAAAAAAGCATACAGAAATTCTGAGCCATCCCAGGGTGGCCAGTTTGGAGCTGATACTGGTTTTGCTGATTTAAACTGGGGATACTGTGATTTATAAAGATGTCTTTTGGAAGCAAAGTTGCATGCGTTGATTAGGCAAAAGCTATTTTTTCTGTTGTGTGGTTATATGAAAGTATGATGACTTTTTTATTCCCTGAACTAAAACATGATCTCTTCCATAGTCTGGTACAAGTGTAGTTCTGTTTGTGTGAGAGCATCTGGTGCTTCCCCTAAAGTGCTGCACTCAGTACAGGAATGGTTCATGTTTTTGCTGCTGAAATAGGAGCATTGAAATTCTGTTGCATTTTTGAGTATGGCTTGGTTCAAAATAATCTCTGCTGGAAAGCATTTTACACATGACTTCATTCAGTAAGAAGTTTATCGGAGTTCAAAGTACAGAGGAGTCACGTGGCCCTTAACCAGCCAGAGACTTTACATTCTTGTGCAGTCCTAAGATTTGAAAAATAAGCAGCCAAGGAAGTGAAGGAAGAAGCCGAACACTGTCCGCAGCTGCTAATTAACACATCCACAGGGACAGCTTAAACCTGAGCTGCTGTGGCACAACGTGCCTCCATGCTCAACAATCTTGAGTTCACGTAACACGTGAGTTTGGGATATCTGGTACTGCAGGAACACTGGCTCACAGCTCCCAAGCAGAGTCCTGGTGTTTTGCTTTCTGCCACCAGGCCGCAAAGATTAGCGAGGATTTAGGTCCCAAGTTTGAGATGTTTCCTGCTAGAGCTCATGTGACAGTCAGACCTTCTCCAAGCCCTGCCACCAAACTTTCCTCACATGTCTTGTCCAGCCCCAAGGTGGCGTAAATTATCACCTTGCATCCGAAAATTTTTCATAGAATCATGGAATGTGTTGGGTTGGAAGGGACCTTTAAAGGTCATCCAGTCCAACCCCTCTGCAGTGAGCAGGGACATTGGCACCAGATCAGGTTTCTCAGAGCCCCATCAAGCCTGACCTTGAATATCTCCAGGGATGAGGCCTCCACTACCTCACTGGCCAACATGTTCCAGTGTTTCACCACCCTCATAGTGAAGAACTTCTTCTTTATGTCTAATCTAAATCTACCCTGCTCTAGTTTAAAATCATTGCCCTTTGTCCTATTGCTACACACCCTTGTAAACAGTCCCTTCCCA